TTTCTATCTCAGTCTCCAAGAAATTTAGTAAAGATTCTTCTCAAGCAACTACAGAGCACTGAAATGACACTTTTCTAACTTGAGAATCTGTATACTGTCATACATATATATATATAAAAAAAATCTCTTTTCTAGTAATTTCACAATGTTTCTTTTTAAAATTTGCTTCTTTAGGGTGTGTGACAAATGTGCTCACAAACCATAAGATTGTGCCCAAGAAATTTTACCTTAGAAACTTCCATTTTAAATCTACTTATGATGTAAAAATTGGAGAACATTTTCCAAAACTGTAAGTCAGAAAATGTTACATAAAAAGTTGGCAGAGATCTTTCCAAAGTATTCTGTGCAATATAATTCTTCCCCAATGAAAAAAAAATAATCTGGATTTCTCTGACATAACTTTCATAAGAGTTAAATAAATTCTAAGTAGCAAGGTAAATCCTTCATTGTGTGCTCTGTTTATGTACTTATAGAATATAAAGTGGATAAAAACAATGAATATTTTACAAATAAAGCGATTCATAATTTATAGCTGCTGTCATTTTAGTTTAGTAGCTTGAAAGATTAAGAGTTCCTTTTAAAAAGCATCTCTCTTGCTTTTTAAAATCAAAACAATACTTCAGACTGAAGGAAAAAAAAATACACCTCAAACTTCTGCTTTAAAAAATGTGAAACCCTAGCGTTTTCAGATTTCATGTAAAAGGAAACTCTGTTAACAGTTCCATTATTATATATGATCATCGTATGATCAGTTCCTACATTTTATTAAACGTAATTGTTCCTATAGAGAGCCTAAAAGTTGACACCACACACTTCTGTAATGTAAGCAACACGCCCGAGACACTCAGCTATTTCCAAGGGAAAACGTTACCGTCTTTGCAGTTGCAGCAAGCACATGTGCTTTCCATCTGTTATTCACTTGCACAAAGTTGAGTAGTTCCTCACGGTACCTTTTTCTCTTTACATGTAAAGTTATCTTTTATCTACTGATATAAGCAAGTAAAAAATATATTTACTTATGCAGAGACAAAGCGGTTATTTAAAGCATAGGGGGAAAAAAGAAATCTAGAGAAATGTTTTTCATCCTTAGTATTAATGATGTTTTGTATTTTTTTTTTTTATCTTGAGTACAGCATTCATTCTACTGAAAGAATTAAGCGATGTACACGATGGTTCAGATTTAGCAGCCACAGATGGCATTCCTTTCGTATCTCCATAAACTCCGAGAGAGAAATATGACTTAGGATATGCTCACTATACAACTTGAAGCACTGAATAATTTAGTGTTAGGGGAAATTTTGTGAAGTCAGTTTTGCAATAACCAGGCACAGTGGGTGAACTTCACCTCTCGCTCCTTTACCCCTTAACTCCCTTTTCTCCCATTCAATCCACCCGATTAACACATAAAGATTATATACATAAGGAAGGACTGTTGGATTACATTCTCTTTTTTCTTCTGGCTTTGTTATAGAAAATGTGTCAGTCACTTGTGGTTAAAACTTACAATTTTATTACATAGTATTACATAGGAAATTTACAATTCAGACTTACTCAATTCCAGCAACTAAAATTTAGAACTATATCTTGAAATGATAGCATGCAGAAAAATGTAATTCTGTGCTTTTCGAGTCATTCTGTTCAGGCCCACCAATTTAATTTTCCATTTGATAAATGGAGCAACAAAGCTTGGTTTTGGTCTAGAGGGTCACCTGTGGGAAGCACTCAAAAGAACATTCAAGCTCACTCATACTCCCACATGGATAAACAATTGCCCACTGCATGTTTGCTAATTAAATATATCATCATGAAAAATATTGTTCTCCATGTCCCGCTAGTCTTACTGAAGTGCATGAAATAAACCAACAACAGAATAGACAGATTGAGGATGGAAGAGATTTATTAGTCCAAGCCTGCCAGTGCAGGATTTCCTTTATCATCTGGTTACTGTGTTTTTAAAAAACAGCTCCTGAAATGAGGCTTCCATTATTTCTCCGAGGAGACTTCTAGACCGTTACAGAACTAAAGACATTTTTTTCTAACATTTATCCTACAATTTCCCACATATTTTGGTACTATTACCCCAACTAACCAACCTTCACATCATGAGATCTATTTCCTCTCTGTAGCGTTCAAAACAAAACTGAGCCTAGCTTCGCCACATACAAATCACTCGCTGGGCAGGTGATGTGAATGCTCCTTTTCTTTTATTGATCTTTGGGCTGTTCCAAACACTATGTCACCATATAATCTCCTGGTGTACTTGCGACTTAAATAGTGCACACACGCCTCACTGCCCTTTTCATAAGAATCACTTTGTTTACTTTGAATATGTAGAGAAAGAGTCAAAAAGGGTGAGTTGACGTAAGGATCAATTAGCCTGTCCTCCAAATAAAAAAGCACTAGTAGGGAGGAAGAGTTGGAAAAATAGGTATTAGAAATGAGATATTAGACATGAAAGAGACCTTGAAAACTGTTAACACAGAAGCTGAAAAGGGAGCAGTTATTATTTTCTCACTATACAAGGACATGGAAAACCTTATCCAGCCAACTTAAAGACTGCAAGAAGATGCGTTCCACGCAAGACAAGATATGACATTCATTGCCATAAAAACTTACAGAGACTAAAAATATAAATGAGTCAGTAAATAGACAAATTAATAGGTGACAGTTCACTGATTCCTATTATACATAGTCTTTTTTACAAGATGTATCTTAAGACTTAGAAAGTCAACAGTAGATTGGCAGAAGCTGAAAGACATACCCAGTAAAGCAGCACTTTATACAGTTTCTTATACTTTTCCTCAGGAATCTGCCGTTAGCCATTGTCAGAGAAAGAATACCAGGGCAGACAAACCTCTGATCCGATCTACTGTCGTCGTTTGGTGGGGAACAAATGGAAAAGATGAGTCATCCTTGTTGACTGGGGAATATGTTGGAGACCTAAATGGGGTTTTTCCCCTAACTAAAACAAATTAAAACACATTAATTCTAAGAGAGAAGATGCTCTAAAGATGTCTTCATGCCATTTTGGCCAAACTACATAATTTAGAAAAGCGATTGCAAGGAAGAGGTCCTAGTCAACCATGAAATATTACAGTAAAATTAAATAGACAGGATCACTACAATGCAATTGCTAACTAAGCTGTAATAACAAACAGTCTACAGTGGATGACTTACAGCATATTTAGTAAACTAACATACTTATTAGCTGTGGGGGGGGGGGGAGAAAAAGGTATGAAAGAATGGCCTTTCCAACATGCTCCCCGACACATCTTACCTTACCTTATACAAACCTAATCCTCCCAAAATACTGACAAGGTGCAAAAATCTTTGCTAGAGGTGTTAAATCTTAAGCTGTTTACACCACAAAGACCAGGATTCCTTAAGGTGGGGTATACAATTTGGTTTTGAGAAACTGTATCTCTGCCCATGCACAATAATGAGGACAAGGATGGTCACGGCTAAATTGGTCCCAACTCTTTGACTGACAGGTAGGTATCGTACTGCTGTATGTGTAAAACACTTAACAGTTGGTGGGACCCAAAAGAGAACAACAATCTTTCCAACAAGAACCAATACACTCAGTAAAACAAATAGTCCAATCTTGGCTTTTCAGAGCTTAGATACAAATATGTTATAAAAACATGTATGTTTTTGTACGCGCACGTACACCAATAACAAAAAAAATGCTTGAGCCTTATGTCGACTTTTCCTGGCTATGCACAGAAAGAGAAGCAGTCGTGGAAAATGGTACAATTTGTGCTATTTGGGGGTATGCTTGTGCCTTACTTTCCAAGCACCAAGAAAAGCTGTTTTGAATGAAATTCAAATAGGCTGATTATATAACATTAGGGTCCTTCATTTTAATCATCAGCGATAATCTTCTGCTAATGTAAAATGATATTGTTTCCAACAACAGCATTAGGGAAACAAACAAACAAATTCAGAAGCAATCTGAATGTACGAACGAGTAGTGACAGACATTAAGTTGTTGAATGCTTTCAACTACTGGGAAGACAGTAAATTTCTGTTACTTATTACTCTTTCAAACTTCAATCAAAACATTTTTTTTTTCCTAAATTATGCCTTCAATTCCAGCCCATGCTTGTAACACCATTTTGGATCTTCTTCGGAGTCTACAATTCTGACTCTACTGACCTTTTGTAGACAAAAAAAGACCCAAGAATAGCCCTTAAATCCCAACATCCTAAAAGGAGGAGCAAGAGGAAGAGAGAAGAAAGAGGAAAAGAAAGGTGCAGGAGCAGCCTTAAGCCTGAGGTCAAAACTGAACTCTTTATTTAGCTCAACTTTTGCTCAATTGTACTCTGACACTTTCTGGAGTGGTTATCTTTTTGTGCTCATGTGTAACCGATATTCTAAACCAACATATTTCAACCATTTACAGGGACACAGGCTCTATAGTAAACAAGACTATATACAGTGATTAAAAGAGTATCACTAACATTTTTAAGTGTAGCTACAGGAGGCCCTAGATAAAACATTTCCGAATAATAAAATATCTTCTCCTGGATTCAGCTTTTAACAGAAGAGTGTAACTTGTTTTTTCTTAATATTGGTATCTCGCTGTAGAAAAGCATACCCAAAAGACTCAGCTCCCCAATTTATTCATTTTGGGGGCAAAACCAATTTAAAATTACTTAAAAGCAAAACCAAATGAAACACACCCTTACCCCTTTCCTCCCACACCTCGCTGGCATTTTCTCAGAAGAAGTCACCCTACTTAGAGCAACAGTTTTCACAGCTACCCGGCTATGGTTTGGTGGGCTCCTAGTAGCTCCCCAGGACTTACTTGTTTAACAAAAAAAATGCTGTAGGACCAATGAAAAAGGAACAGGTGCTCTATAGACCAGGTTCAGAAAACTTGAAATTTCCGTTCTTACGGATACATGCAAACACACATCCCACAGTAAATATCTCAGCTATTACTCCTGCCATCCATGGTATTTCTAGATATTACTTTTTAACTTTTACTTATTTATTTAATGGAAGACCCTTTGCCACAGCTGGTACCCTTTAAGGCACTCTGTGAAAAGAGGTTTAAGATTCAATTAGCACAAAACTTCAAAACATACTTTTATAAAAAGCAAAATGTAGACCACCATCATTTTGGTTGATAATAAAATTCGGTAAATATAATATGCATTTCTCTAATGTTTAAAAGTCCATTTCTGGAAAAACTCAAAATCTCTGGTGTAGCCTTGTTCTCGGGAGCATTCACATAACCACAGTGTGCAGAAACCAAAAGTTTGGAGAAAGTTATTTTGAGTTAAATACATGAGTATTCATGAAAATGCAATTTTGAAGTTCAAATACTAATTTTCCAAATGTATCTGCATGTAGGAACTATGCTACCTGAAACAATGCTACCTTTTTTTTCTGACCAGCCCAAATTAATCAACACAGCTCAGTAGCAAAAATTATACATCAAGCCACAAAGTTAAAAAAAAAATTTAAAACAATCACACAAAACAAATATTTTAACACAAACAATGCATTTGAGAAAACTATAATCTACTGAAAGGAAGTCCAAGAGAGGTAAGAGAGGCTAGATTTGCTACACACTGTATTAACTAAAATCAATTGTTGACCCTTCTCAAATATTTTTAGCAAATTACATTATTTACACAGATTAAATAAACCCCATTGTCATGGCGATTTTATGAACTTAATTTATTTCTCTCAAGAATCTGGAGAAAATTAACACGACCCAATACACAGAGTAGGGACATAAAGTGAAGCCCCTGTTAATAATTGAACTATGAACATGGAGGGCATTGTTACCTTGGCACGCAAAGCCTCTTTCTTCATAGCCAGCATTACACAAGCACTTCCCTATGGGCACTAGCCATTCTCCTTCTGTACTGCAATACATCTTGGGTGGCTCTTCCTCCTTGGAATGATTGACACAAGAACCCCGCACCTCCACCAGTGACTGGGAGTCCATGGGTACTGTATCTGGAAACATGGCCAGGTTCTTGACAGTGAAAGGGCACTTTTTGAAGTACACTCGCACCGAGACTAAGGCAACACACGCACCTACATCTTGAAAAGCCAAGTAAAAGCCTTTCCTGCTGACAGGCCCCACCTCACGGACTTCTGTATTCAGCTTGAGAATTCGGTCCCCAAGATCCATTTGGGTGAAGCTCTCATCAGCCGCAATGGTGTCGATCTTTGTAAATTGATGCTCTCTGAACTTTACCAAATTGTCATCATCAGACTCCATATAATACAGATTGAAGGTCTCTTTGCAAGTGCCCAGAACTAGAGGGATACTATTACAGTCCCTCAAGGTAAACTTGAGCTCCACATATATCTTCTGAGCTGAATTGCGTGGAATCCAGTTTGTTCGCAGCCAATTGTTTTGACTGTGATCCATAACATTGCACACTTGGTATGTTCTGATTGGAGTATAATGCTCATCAACACCACTAATCTCTTCCCACTGGGGAGAAAAAAAAAGAAAAGAAAATATTTTAAGATTAATGATTATACCAATAAAAATCACATTTAGAGACAAAAGCTGTAAAAAAGCAAAAATCACTTTGCTTGGACATCACTATGAAATAGACAAAGTCTGGTCGAACTTGCACTTACTTTTTCCTATTAAAACATAAACATCTTAAATGAACACAGAATTCACCATTAAGAAGACAGTTTTTCCCAACTTATTTCAAGGTGGCATGAAAGAGATGCTACAGCTGTTTGGCATTATTAAAAACCTGGGATTTCTTAAATTGTATGCAGTGCTGTCCTTTCAACTGTGATCCCAACACATCTCTACTACAATCACATTCACCTCAAACAGAAGAGGTTCACTAGGACAACACCACGTTTTCACTGTTAGAATCAAGTTGTATTTCAAAGATTAAACAAGATTTAAAATCTGACAAAATCCAATAACTCCCACTGAAATTCCACCTAGTCATAAAAAAAGTTACAGTTTTAAACTTATTTAAAGCATGACAATTGATTTTGCTTGGGATATATGTCCTCTGGAGAAACTGTCAAGCTTAGCCCAGTTTTCAGAGTTATTAAAAATTACCGTCAACTTACCACATCTTGGTTGCTTAATTCTTCTGTGGCCTATATAGGCTATGATGCTACAATGTATTTTGAAGAACAGAGAATCAGAATTTGTTTTTACATCAGTCAGCAGTCGACAAACTTACTTGACCCAGACAAGAAAGGAAGGGGTTTCCTATTTGCGAACTACTCATGTACCAGTCCTATCTGATTTCTGAAGTCATGTTTACCAGAGAGGAATGTTTACCAATCTCAGGAAAAAATAAATCCTACAGGGGTATTTAAAGTAAATATTTACTGTTAGTCATTTACCATACACAACTAATTGCCTTCAGATGCATCCTTCTTTGCTTTCTCCCTGAATGGATGACTAAGATCAATTGTTTTGTTTTGTTTTTTTAAGGATATCATTCTTCAGCTTTTATCCACACAAAAACTGCAGCTGTTATATATTCCGAGTCTTAAAATATAAAATGAAGAGCCTCACCACTAAAGCGCTAGAATTAAAGCTCATTACAATGAACAATACCTGTTAGAGAATCACACCACCACTGAAGTTGACAGAAATGCTTCCAGATCTCCTTGCCCAAGCCCCTGCTCATGCAGGGTCAAGCCAGAGCAGGTTGCTCAGGATCCTGTCTAGACAGGCTTTTGAATATCTCCAAGGACGGCGACTTCACAGCCTCTCTGGGCAGCCTACGCCAGTGTTTGGTTGTACTCAGAGTGAAAAGGTTGGTCCTTATGTTTAAATGGAATTTCCTGTATTTCTGATTGTATCCATTGACTCTTGGCCTTTCCCTGGGCACCGAAGAGAAGAGTCTGGCTCCTTATTCTCAATACTTTGCCATCCGGCATTTATACACACTGCTAAGACTCTCCTGAGCCTTATCATCTTCTGTTCTATGCTTCAAAGTTAATGACACAAAAAGCGTAAACTCTTATTGTGATAATGAAGCGCATGTGAATAGAGTATACAGAAGCTACAGAAATCCTTGCTTCGCCATCACCCGCATACACAGCCTCTGCAAAACACACAAATGCTGCCCCACGCAACCAGGTGCGGTGCAGCTGGGGAGCAGTAGTGCTTCAATCAGAGCTACTGCATAGTGCAAAAACTGGAGATGCAAAGTAGACAGAATTAAGTATGTTGTGAGAAGTCACTGCCTCTCTTGGGGGAGGGAGACCAAGAACAACTACAAGAAAAAACATCTTCCCTCAAAAATCAAGTCACATCAATGTTATATTTAAGATCTCAGTCTAACAATTACTCATTTTACACAAGCACCTTTTGCTGAAGGACTTCAATGTACTGGAGAGCAACCATTAAGACAGGAAAGTACTATTCCCACTGTACTGACAACGAAACTGAGGCACAGAAGCGTTAACTGTCTTTACAGTTTACCGCTTTTACAACACATGCAGCGCACACACACAAAGAAAGAAGCGGGAGAAAAAAAAAGTGGCCACATCAGAGTAACATCTGAGAGTTCTCAGTCCCAACCCATTGACTTAAAGAAGTTTTGATACAACTAAGAGCTGGTCTGCACAATGAAATTGTCCACACACCACTGAAGATGTGATTTTAAAATCATGTTATTAAAACCAGTAGATAAAAGCAGTATAAATACTTTTCCTTTAATTGAAACAAAGTTTATTTTAGTTCACTTTACAGATCTGACTATACACAAGTTTTATCTCTTCCTGACTAGTTCAACAGAGTTAGAAACACAGTCTTGGATGTGTATACAGCAGCTGAAACGCCACAGCAAGCCACAGTATGCTACATTGCCAAAGAGAGCCCGCAGTACAGGGACCTTGTGAGCCGAAGTTACTGCACTAGAGCTCATGGCCACTTGAGAGCTGGGTGCCACGTGGCAGCTCGTCCTACAAGGACCAGCTCCTGCCTGCCCGAGAGGCAGCTGGACCCCGGCTCCCAGCCTCTGCCAAGTTCCCAAAACTGAGCGGAGGGCCCTCCTCTGACAGATGTCCTTGTACAAGTACAGCCAAGCCCTGAGCCAACAATCTAATCCCGTCGCAAAAAGCCATTCAGATGCTATAATTGCCTCCCATGAAGCTGGAGGTACCTCTTTAACTACAGGTCTTACCTGGACAAATAAAAACTCAGTTACAACAACTAGATGAAACTAGCTAAGATTATAATTCTATGGACATTTAAAGCAGCTCAAACTGATACATAAGTGATCTACTTATTATCTCTTCCATATAATTTCTAATCAGTTCAACATATTTTACATGTCCAGTGGGAGACAGAAACAAAACCGGGAATTTGCAGAATTTAAAACATCTCCACAGCAGATGTTATTTTCTGAACAAGTCTCACTGCAACTTTTTTTCAGAAGTTTCTTATCCAACATCCTTACGCAGGCAGCTGAATGTAGACGGATGAATTCCATGATAAAGGTAGCACAGTACTACTATATTCTTCACCTAAAAGTTAAAACGTGGAATTATCACTTCCTTAATTCGCAATGAAGACCAAATTGCTTGGAAACAATTGTAGTCCATGTGAGTACACTTGCATAAATAACAAAATTTCAAATCTATCATTTAACCTTGAAGCATTGCTGAATGGAAGCACCAGTCTCACACACCAGGTGCTAACTTGACCAAAATACTTTAACTGTTATAAAATTATGGAGATTGTAGCTATCATTTTAGAAAGAGTTAAGGTGACATAAAGTCACTGAAACTACAGGAAGAGTGTCCAATCAGAACATGTACCAGATTCAAGTAGATTTGTGGCTTCAATAATTATTATGATCAAACTACATTTGCATTGCTCACACATTGCAACTTTTCTCAGTAAGCTATCTTATTGCCATCCTCAAATGATCTTAATTCTAAACAGATTATCACGAACATCAAGACAATTTCCCTTCCATGATCCATGAGTTTTTTCTATTAAGTGAGGTTTCTCAAACACCTACATTTGTAGGGTTTTTTAATTCTTATTTCTATACTTCTAATTCATCTGTTCAACTTGCTCTGTAAAGTTCCAATAGTTACAAAATTACTTTAAAAAAAAAATAGAGATATTCTTATTCCAGGGATGGAACTAAGGAGAGAAAAACCTAAAACAAAATGCATGTTGGTTAATAAAATATCAAATGTTTTCTTATTTAGTCACTATTGTCAATTGAGTCTGTGTTGATTTCAGGGGCTCAAATGAAGGCAAGCAGTCTTTCACTGTAAATTCTTATATATTACATTCATGGGGCATCCTACAATCTAGGACTTTTGAGGCATCATTTATAAGGACTTCTCAGCCCAAACCTGTTCTGAACACACATAATCAAAAAGTTCCATGCTGTTTTGCCGCTGCAAAACGCTAAACTCGTGCCCACTTCAGACCAAGGGGACACTACGCATATCCTCTGTAACACAAAGTTGTGCTGCCTTAGCATCTCTTGTCTTTTCCTGATATTGCTCTTGTAGAGCCACCTCCTCCTTTTATGCTGTGCTTGAGCTCTGCTGCTTTTAGAACAAAGTATCAGATGGTACCCACATACGACTACGCTTCTCACAGCATTTCTTTTCAGCCCTAAAAATCCATTATCATTACCTAGAGGATAAAAATCAATAAGCAAGCAAAACTTTAGTAGTTGAGAATGTATACTTTTGCTTTATAGAGAGCTATAGTCACGAAAACGTGCTGGCAATTAAGAGGCTAAGTGGCAGCAGGAAGTAAACCTCCTGCGTGGCATCGCCACGGAGCCTATTCAGCATTACAGTCTTCAGTGCAGTTTTACTTTGTACAGGCATCGTTCTGACCTATATTCGCAAACAGCTAGCTGCAATAACAGAACAACAAGGTAGCACTTAAAAAGTAAAGGAAGAGACATATAAACAGGAATAAGGGGATAAAGTTTATTTTCAAATCTTAGAGAAAAGCAGACCGTAAAAAAACTAAGATATTCCTTATAACTGAAGACATAGATATTCCTTACAACAAAACAGATGCACAGAAATGAGAAAAGAATTAGAAACAGAAAGTATCTAAGGTATTTTAAACACATGAGAAAAATTCTGATCTGCCAGGAGGTGTGAGGTAAATCAGCTAAAAGAGTCCAGAATTACTATATTGTAATTGATTCTTTGTATCTTAGGGTACAGGAAAAAAAAAAAAAAGAACAACGTTCTGAGCCTGCAGGAACTTGGATAGCTAGGGCTTGAAGAGGTCAAAAGGCAGGTAGCCACAATAAATAATAGGAGACTCAAAAGTTACAAAGAGAAATTCAGCCAAGATGGAAATAAGACAATGAAATGCAAAGAGAACAACGCAACAGAGACATGAGATGCACTAAAAGAAAACTTCAGATGTAAGGCAGATATTTACATCAGACAACTAGATGGGAGAAAGGGATCCACTTCTGTTCACCTTATGCACTGAGTGCAGTC